ATGCTCACACAAAGTAAGTGATACATTTGTTAAGCCTGAAAGTATCTTTTGCTCCACAAGGACTTTCATTCCTTGTTCTGATATGTATCCAAGTTTCTGATGCCATAGCATTGCCGAATCTGAACTACATGAGGCAACAGAGGCTTCTTATTCTAGCAAAGTCTCTCCGTTCAGCATGTACAAGTTTGCTGCTATATGTTCGCCTTTTAGCACCAAAAGCGCTCCACGGAACACCTTCATGATTCCTTTCCGTGTTTCAATCTTGCTTGCATTATTATCCAACAATCCGTAGGATAATAAATTTTTCTTCAGACCTTTCACGTGTCGCGCATCTCGAACAACTTTAATTGTTCCATCATACATCTTCAATTTGATGGTTCCCACGCTAATGATCTCTAAGGTATGATCATTACAACTATACAGAGATCCTCCTGAGACAGGTTCATAATGATGGAACCATTCTCTTCTTGAGGTCATGTGATATGTTATTCCCGAATCAATGAGCCATATGTCTGCATATCTCTTTTTACCTTCCACGGTGGTTGACGCTTCACAGCATAGAGCATCTCCATCATCTGAAGTGTTTACAGTATTGCCTTGTGGATTGGAGTTTTTATTTAGACTCCAACAATCCTTCTTCAAGTGACCCTTTTTTCCACATTTGTAGAACTTTAAATTCTTCTTGCTTCTCGACTTCGATCTACCATATTTGTGACTACTACTTTGGCCATGTTCTGTTGATCTCCCTCTCATCGTTGTCAACGCTTCTGCTTATTGCAGATTTACTTGTCTGTCTTCCTTGTTCTTGCGCCGATTTTCTTCTTGTAGAACAGCAGCTACAACGTCATCGAAGACTAGACTTGTGATATTACTGTTTGTCAAGTTGATGATGAGTTGATCATACGAATCCGATAGACTTTGAAGTAGAAGTTCAGCACGTTCTTGTTCTCCTATTGTACATCTTAAAGATGTAAGTTGAAAAAATAAAGTGTTCAGCGTGTTTAAGTGCTCCTTCACTGAAGTAGATTCCGGCATCCGGAGAGTGTACAATTTACTCTTAAGGAAAATTTTATTGTGCAACGATGTGGCCTTGTACAATTTGGTGAGATGATTAGATGTCTTCTTCTCCTCGATGCTTGACAATACTTCATCTGCTAATGCTAGATGAAAGTTTGCCATAGCATTCTCGTCCATTTCGATCCATTTGTTGTCATTTGTAAAATATATATCGGCCTTTCACTGATAGCTGCTAGACAACTGTCTTTCCTCAGGATGGCCTTCATCTTCAATTTCCACAATGAGAAATTTCTCCCATTGAATTTTTCAATATCAAATTTCGTTGTCATAGCTTCTATTACGGATAGCTCCCACTATTTCACTATCGTGAATAGTTCTCTGGAACCTTCAAAGAATTGGTAATACCTTTTTACTTTCTTATGTTGGAGGATCCACCTTTTGGTGGCAACCACAAAGATAATAAGTAGATATTACACACTCTAATCTGGCTCGGATACCAATTATTGCGGAAGACGGTTATCGGATAGAGCAAAATCGCAACTGATAATTTGAGAAAATAAAAATGAAGATAAAAGAGACACAAAATTTACGTGAAAAACCCCTAAATAATATAGGGTAAAAACCACGGGCAACGGTAGAAGAATTTCACTATGAGAAAAATAGGAATTACAACCTCTCTCGATCTACCAAGGAGAAAACAATGATAATTCTCTCTTGATAAAAAGAAGAAAACAACTCTCAAAATCTCTCTAAATTCTCTCTAGTATTGAAAGAAAGCTAGAATGCTTTGGGATGTTTTGAAGCTAAATGAGCTAGGGTATTTATAGTTGAAACTTAAGGACTAATTTGTAAATACCCTAAATTACAATGGCTAAAAATATGATTCTACCATTGTCCAAAATTCAACATTTTTCAGCTACTTTCGGTGCCAAATTTCCAGCTAATTGTGGTGCATTTATTATGCACACTTTCCACCGAAATTTGCCATCAATTTAGCCACTTCTATGTTGACTTTTCAACAATTTTGATTACTAAAGAGTCTAGTGAAGATATTGAGAAGGTGGTGGAGTTGCTAAATGCAAAATTCTCTCTCAAAGATTTAGGAGAGTTGAGTTTTTTCTTGGGTATAGAGTCAAATGGTGCAATGATACCCTTGTCCTTAGTCAAAGGAAATTTTTCGTGGAGCTTCTTAACAAAACATGTATGGCTAAGGCTGCGCCAACTCCCACACCAATGGTCACTACATTGAAGCTGGTTCAAAATGAGGGGGAGTTGTTGCAAGATGCAAGTGGTTATCGTAGTGTTGTTGGCTCGCTGTTGTACTTATATCATACGAGGCTAGATATTGCATTTAGTGTAGGGAAGGTTGCACAGTTCATTCATGCACCACGAGAAGTTCACATGGCTGTAGTTAAGCGCATTTTAAGGTACTTGGCAGGCACGGTAAAGTATACTGGGGAGGAAGTCTAGATGACAGTCGATCGATCTCAGGGTATGATGTCTTTTTTGGTAACTGTCTTGTTGCGTGGGTGTCCAAAAAACAAAAGTCTGTCTCGCGTTTAACGACAGAAGTAGGTAAAAGAGTATTGTTGATGCCACAGCTGAAATTACCTAGGTCAATGCTTTGCTGAAGGATTTGGGTATTCAACGGTGTAAGGAGGATTTGGGTATTCAACGGTGTAAGGAACCGGTTGTATGGTGTGACAACTCAGGTGCAGTGGCGATGAGCGCAAACCCAGTCTATCATGCACACTCGAAGCATGTGGACTTGGATATCCACTTTGTGAGAGAGAAAGTGGATACGGGGGAGTTGTGCGTGAACTACATACCTGTTGATTATCACATTGAAGATAGGCTGACCAAACCCCTGACAAAGGGAGCGTTTGAGTTGTCTCGTGACAAGGTTTATGTTTGAGAATGCTGAGGATATCAAGGACATGAAGAAAAAGGAGTAGGGAGGGAGAATGTTAGAGCTAGTGATTACTAGGTCTACACGTGTTAGTGCCTAAAGGCTTAGAGCAGTTAAGTTGTTATGAGTTGTTAGTAGGATTGTTAACCGTTACTGCATGTGCTTGTGCATGATTTTAATACATTGTATTGTATGTCATGTAAAGTAGTTCAATAAAACATGATTCTTGATATAAAGCTTCCAATTTTCTTGGTATTGTAATAACCTCTAACTCCAAAATGCTTCTTGAACTTCATAAATATGATGTTTTGTAGGTCAAATATATGCATTTTGAGTATTTTGGTTGATAAGCATGATATGTGAATTTGGGTGATATTTTACATTAAAAAGTTATAAAAATTATTTTATATGAGTTTTCAAGGTTAAAATTATATTTTATTGGTTTTGGTACTAATATTGTTCATACGATATTGATATTGTAAGAATACCCCTTAAAATTCTGGGTAATTTTTAAAGAGAGTGTCAATACTCATTCTTGAGGTATCAATGTTACTCATCAAGTATTGATGCTTGTTGGTATCAATACTATGACATTTGATAATATTCTAATGAACTAAATTGATATCAATACTCTCCATAAATATTGATGAGGGTAATGATATCGTCTGTATCAGTACCTTAGAATATTTAAACTTAAAAATATTTCATAATATACTCAAATAATTTGTAATTGCTACGAAAGACTTGAAAAGAGTTACGAGGCTTGAAATGACTAAATTTACCTTGTACATAATATATACCCTAAGTAGAACAAGTTTGGATCAAGTATGAGATTTTGAAGTAATTTCGATGTCAGTTAGTGCCCCTTTGTGTGATCGCACACCACGCATTTAAGCTATTGGATTGAGATTAGTAAGCTTAGAAATTGGTTTCGTTTGAAAAACAACACAAACACATACTATTATCATTCGATTTCGATCATCTTGAACGCTTAAGAAAACACTTCAGACACCCGAGATTATTTAACTAACAACCGTTTTTAACACAGAATTATCTAGATATCTCATATGATTTTAACACGTGTGCAATTTTGTTTGCTAGTTATTCATTTGTTCGTTATCTGTATATTCGATATAGTCTCCAAGTGAATAATTTGAGTATCGTGGACATGGTATCATCCATATGCTATGTTTATATGAGAATTGTTATGCGAAAGCAAGCTTTTGTTTTAAATATTCTTATATGATTAATTAGTTTGATAAAGCTTTGATGATTAAGTTAGATAAGATGTCAATATCATGTTTCTATGTTTTCAATTTGAATGCTTATGTTTATAAATTGCTTGAAGTATAGTAGACTGAATTAGTTTTACTGAGAATTGCTTGCTTCTCATGCTTATGCTTATGTTCAAATTATTTTTGTTTGCAAGTTAGTAGATTTTTGTTGTGTTCAGGTAGCATTGTCAATGTGGGATCTCCAACATCATCTATTTAGTGCATAATAGTTGATTTCTTTAGGGAACATATGCATTCATAGGGCCTTACTACTATATCAATATGTGAACTCTATTATTATTTTGATCTATGTCGAATTTTAAAACTTAAGTTCTGTATAAATATTTCTACTCTATTTATCTATCAATTTTCATTTGATGTGGATGTTGTTTTAAACCTTTAAGGATTTTAAATTTAGTAGTCACTTCGATGGTTCAATATGGCACTGAAGCTCTTCGAATATTACCAGTCGAGTTTAAGTTGTTACACAGACCTATCCAAAATTAAAACATATAAGCCCTTGATGATACGTACTCAGCCTTCAAGTATACAATGCTATGTTAAACCTGAAAGAACAAGCAAGCAAAGCTGCAATCAGCTATAAATATGATACGTACTCAGCCTTCAAAGTATGTTATATCCTCGATGGTAAAAGAATTATTGTTGTTCTTTGAAGTCTCAAGTTTGAGCACAAGAAATGTAGAAGAGAGATTATTAAATGTCAAATGGTTGAGAATTATCTTTGAACAGATATTATTTTATACTTACCCCATATAATCAAAAAAAAAAAAGTTGTCTGCTTTTGAAAGAAAAATTACCAACTTTGTATTTACTACAAATAATGAAAGCGTATTTTATGTATTCAAAAATTCAGTAATGCCAATGTGTATAAGCTTTTAACCCCAGTTAGGATCAAATCCTCATGATATTCTGTCCAGAAAACAAGACTACAGAGCTGTTAGTTCAAGGTTGAATGAAACAAAACACACACAAAAGGAAAACAGGATAAGGGCATTTTTGGTGTTCAAAGTTTCAGGCTGAAAATCCCAAGCACCAGCCTGTTAGGTTTCCAAGCCAAAGTCTTCTCAAGTTCTGACAAATTTCCTAAGCAGCATATCCCGGTCAGTTTCTCGGACACAAAATGCAACCTGCTATGCCATGAAGTACATATATGAACTTGGTAATTACAAAATAACTCATAGTAATTGAAAATCAGAAAGAAAAGTTGATGTAAATGCAAATAACCAACTTGACAATTAGATTATCATACACTTGACATATAAAAACAACTGCACAAACTACCAATCATTTTCTGAGTTACAGACTGGGCAAAATCCTTTACCTGTTGAGATTACTGCTTATTCAATTTCAGAATCGGTGCCATTTGCCACACTATTTGGCAACTCAGCTCCTGATATTTTGGGTCTTCTATACCACAAAAACATTAACCCTAGAATCCTCAATAATGCTCCATTCGTAATGTGTGGAATGAAAATACGCCCCCAATAAGGGTAATATGGGCCTGGCAACTTGATCAATGTGAAGAATATTGCAATCATAATCAGGTGCCATGGAACTTCTGCATCCTGAAAATCAAGCCAAAAGGTTAACAAAATGTCACACGCTGACATTTTTATACAATATTTACCATGCTGGTAACATCCATATTTGTAAATTTGAATAAGTTCTATTAAGGGGAAACAATAAAAGACATCTTCAGGCATTTGCAATATGATGGATTCTCTGATGTAAATAAGCCCATCCTCACAATGACGGTAAAAAATTCCATACAATGTAGATAAGGCATTCCCATAGTCAACTCAATTAGTGTCTTTAAGTTTCCACCATCCGTTATTCATGAGTTACAAAGGTACATACCTTGAGAAGAGGAGATAGTTCCAAGGCAGTTTCTTTTAGAACCCCTGCAAGTACAAAGCCAATGAGTAGGGGAACAGGGATGATTGTCAACTTCCTTTGATGTGCACAGTAGGACATCTCACTAAGGGTCGAAACTGCTAGTACAGGTGCACTTAGATATTTGACCACTGCCAGTACAAGATCAAGTATGAGTTGAACAAAGTTCTCGAAAGCTCTGTTCCAAGGAAATCTCTTCACTGGCTGAGGAGAATTATCCCATAATCTTCTTGCCTTGTCTACTATATACTCAAAATTTATTTTTTCAGGATCCCCAGACTGGTCTGTGGCCATATTCATAGCAGAACAGATATTTGGCTTGGTGTTCTGAATGATTTGGTTTTGTTTCATGGCCAAACCGCAACCATGTGCTTCGAGATATCGAGTTGAATGCTGCTACAACAAAGCACACAAAAATAAATGATAAATAATGTTGTGACAGTAAATAGAGAAGTGTAAAAAAAAAGTAATATGCAATCATTGAACTTTAGGAATAAATATCATTATATGATCTCCATGTGCCAAAAATAAATAATCAAATCCAGTGAAATGGAAAATATTGGTCCAATGTAATCTTAGTTCAGGAGAGAGAGGATACATGAATAAGAACCAGGAATGGCAGCGAGTTGGATACCTGTAACTTTTTAATTATCTGCATCAACATATCTGTCTAAAAATCACAATCCATTTTTTATCCTCAAATTATGCAATTACTATTATTTGAATTCGAAGTAAATATTGTCATCCACCATATCCAAATCCAAAAAATCCAAATTTAAATTTTACATAATATATCAAATATCCGAATCTGCAAAAACCCGAATTCGTTAAAAGTTGGATGACCAAGGTTCTAATCCACTTAAAAGTTAACATATTATCCATTTTGTAACCCAAAGTCAGATTAAAATACATAAATCTGCTGATGCGGATGATAATTTTAACATTCGAATCCACGAATTATCCAAATTCGCGATACCTGAATCTGCAATAAACAAATCGGATAACCGCATATATCCGAATAAGCAATCCGAACTGTCATCCCTAATTAGAGCAGACATTGAAAAGACAAATTATATTTAAAAGCACAACACCTGCTTCTTATTATAGAGATGGTAGAGCCAAATCTTTATAAGCAAATTCACCATACAAATCAAGTTAAAAGAAGCAAACATACCAACATGCAGTCTTACCTCAGAGCAAAAACAAAAACATAGCACTACCACAAAGAAGCCCTTAAAGTGATCGGAAAATGATTTAAGAATTGAAATACTTGTCAAGATAAACCGGCTGACTAACAAAGAACCGCAAACTACCCGTCGAATTAAAAACTGTTATCAGTACCCGTACCTTCAATCTTTACAATGAACATGGTTAGATAAGACACCACATTGCTAGAGCACATACCCATTTCCGTAAGGATCGAGACTAATCGAAATACAAAGTAACAAGGGAATAAAGCAAGCCAGTTTAGTAATAAACGAGAAGCAACAGTAGAATGTCGGATACAAAAAGATGAGTTATTCCAAAAGTAAATGGTGCTGCACGGAGCAAGATTATACAAGAACCATTTCTAATATCTAATTTTACCTTAACCCAAGAGAGATTAAGTACAGAGCTCACACAAAAAAAAAAAGAACCAACCTAGATAATAGCAAAGTCTAAAACGCAAGATTCAGACTGAAATTAATCGCCAAACCAACACAGACAGAACAAAAGGAGAAAGAAATAAGGTTTACCTTGAGCTTATGAAGAAAGGGGGAATGAGTTTTAAGATACATTTTATGGAAGCCATAGAAATGGGTAGAACCAGATAACAAAAGAGAGGAACAAGGAGAGATTGTCGCCATTTTCGTTAATCTCAAAGACCCTTTTAAGAGATTTATGAATAAAGGTTTTGAAGATAGGTTTTTTCTTTTTATGAAGTGATCCAAATCGCCATTGTTACAATTATAAGGGGAGAAAGGGTCTAGTAGGGATAAGATTGAATATACTGATAGTTGGGACTTTGGGACTCTTCTCTTTACATGAAGCTTATATAGGAGAAAGAAACGATCGTGTTGATGGAGGGTTTATGGGGTGGAGGGTGACTATGCTGCTGCCGATAGTGTTATATGAATTGGTGAATCTACCTTTGGATGGGTTAAAGATACATATTTTTCTGGTATTACCATTGAGCCATGGGTTGAGGGATTAATTTATATGGGATGATTTCTTCAATCTCACTGCTTTAGAGATTTATAATCTATTATTATATTTTGAGATTTTAAATTTAAACACAGCATATGGAAGAATATAAATATTTATTGTTAAATAATTAATAATCTTTAAATAAATATTACTTAATATTCACACGCATAAATTTATTTTCTTCACTCGTGTAAAACCCAAATACCCTTTCATCTTCAAAAATCATTTAGAATCCTTGATTCCATGTCGATCTTTGAGGCCTTTAAAGTAAAATTCTTCTCCCTTTCATTCTCAAATCGTTTGAGTTCTTATTTTTGATAATCATCTCCACTTTGAGGTAAGTTTTTCAAAACTTTAACTTTTCAATTCAAGTTTTTTTTTTTTTTTTGAATTGATTGAATTAGGTTGAACTAGAGAACTCTTATTTTGTTAAAATTGTTGATTTTTTACAAGGAGTGTTATTCACTCTTCAATTTAATCAAAGTCTACTATTTTATCATACACTAACAAGGTGTTCGATAAAAATCTATTAATCAAAATATCATTTCGATAATATCTTATTTTTGAGTCAAAAATTTATTTTAAAATCTTTTAAGAGTCACTTTTAATATCTCTAAACACCATTCTTCATCTTAACTATTTTTCATCCATCAAAAACGTCGAATTTTTCTTAAAATACCTAAATGAAAATTCATAGTCACTAAGAAAAAAGGGGTGTCCTTTGATACGCTATCTTCTTCTACTCGATTGGATACTTGTTTTAGAAATGTTAATATTGTTGAACATTTTAAAATTGTACTTGCTTCACGTTCAGTAAAAAAATTTGATTTATTCGAAACTTTTAATTTTTGAAATTCAAATGTTCTTATAGCATCCCAAACTCGATCATCGTCTGATGATCCTAAGATATTACAATGGGTTGTTGAGACAACCATCAAATTTAAAAGAAAAATCATTTCTATTTCAAATCACGGTATAATTTATCAAAATACGACATTCATAACAATTATAAATTTTTTATACAAACCAAAACACCATGATACTTTAGTTTGGGACTCAATAATATATTGCTAACCCAAAGTATGTTAACGGAAATAGCCATAAGCAAAGAGTAAATGCATGATTCAAAAGTCAATGCATCATATGCTTAAGGTTCAACAACTTTCTTTCACAATAATATTAGTCTTATTCTTTCCCTAGTCCATAACTAAAGACCTAACCATGAACTTATTTTGATCTCTTGCTCAATAACATACAAGCATATATCAACCATACGCACAAACAAAATGATAGCACTCGGTGTTACAATAGTAGTCAGGCGGGAAATTCGGTAAACTTCTCACCGATCAATCAACCTAACAATGATCTTTCACTCTCATCATACCCATGAGATATAGATCGTAGAGGGGGAACTCGGTCATACATATGCCTCAAAGAGTATTTTTATCATTTATCACTCTCAAGAGTACTTTAATCACAATTGACCATCTAAATCTTCCTTAGGCTAAAACATCTCATATGAGTCGCCTCTAAGTCCTATTAACCTTTCAAAGTCAAATTTGACTTTAAAACGCAATGACCATCGATATCAGACTTAGGGTATTGATACTAAACCCTAGGGTATTGATATTCCTGACTAGTTTTGATACCAAAAATGCCTCAAAATTTTTTGTTATCGATATCTAATCCTTGATATCAATACCCATAGAATAATATTGATATTCATGCTAAAATTTTTAGATTTCTTCACAAATTCATCTAATATTGATATTGTTCTTCAAGTATCGATACCTAAGCCCATATTATCTATTTCTAAGTTTGAGAATAACTACAAAATCCTCTCAAACACTCTAGTTTAAGCCTAAATCGATTCCTAAAGCTTATGTGGGTTATATGAGATCATTTAACATATATTTAACAATCATTTTGTCATTCAAGCCATAAATCACACATATCACTTAAAACATACTTTAATGCTATAACTACACACAATTTATCACATTTATGAATGTCATGATATCATAAAGGATTAAAGATACACTACCTTGTTGTTAGAATCTCGAAACAAATCTTTTTTACTAAGCTATTCTTACTTTCTCATTTTCTCTTGCACTTGGTTGCTCTTAACCACTTATTGCAGCCAAACATAAAAGACAAGGGTTTCTAATCATTATTAATGGTATAGGAAAACTCAAGGATCTATTAGAGTAGTGAAAGAAGCTCTTACCACCCACCTTAGAGCTATGTAGATTGGAGAAGAAAAGAAGCATAATAAGATGAGGAAAGAAGATGAAACAGAGAAGTAAAAGTAATTCAGCTTTTTTCCAACCATAGTTTAAATATTTTACTCTAATGCCCACATGTCTTCTCTAAATTCTCGAATGACATAATTTATGAAACCATCAAATCTTTTTTAATGGGTAAATCCATAATTTTCATCGAAAATCTTATTACGTAAACCTTCAAATTACCTTTTACTGGTGATACAAATGACAATGAACCCTTTCTGATAGAAATGTGTGTGATAAAAATCAAACTACTCGTTTGAACCTTTATAATATGTTTCTCCACTTTATCATCTCTCATGTTCTTCGTCTGTTCCACAGTTCGAGATCTTAACTATTGGTGGATGCATTGTATCAAGGCAGGTCACAAACTTCATTTGACTAATGCAATCTTCAAAGATAATGTGAGCATAATTAAAGTCATATCTCATATATGATATGTACCTTAGTCATATTTTTTTTGCATTCTTAATGTTAACACTTCATATGAGCCTGATACTGATATTGATCTCATTGTCAAGACGACCAGTGGACCTGCTTCCACAGAGAAAATGGGTTATATCAAGCAAATCAAATTCTCTATGGATTGAGTTAGAGTTAGAGGAGAAGAACCATAGTCGGATCATGGTAAAGGCTAAAATGCTCAAAGTGAATAATGTTAAGGGCTAAATATATAATTATAATTTTTTTCATTTTTAGAGAAGTTGTGTAACGACTAAATTATTCTCAAATTCAGTAATTGTATCTTTTAGCAATGCATAATAGAAGATTACAAAGATGTGTAGTCTTGGACATCATGACCATATGATCGGATCCTTTGATAACTTCCACTTGATGGGGTGGGTTTTCATGGATCATCCAGTGTACAAAATCCTCCTTTGAGACCATGTCTCTTTCTGAAATTATAAAAACCCGATTAACCGACCCGTATTTTTCCTGGTAGAGTACCAATTCTCTTGACTTGTCTTCTTCCATATACAAACGTATCGGTCTCATCAACATACTCGCCAATGCACAATCCTGTACTTTTTTTAGACAATTTATTAGTAAATTTATACTATAACAATAGATAGTAATTTGAACTGAATGGGTCTCAATTACGAATACTTATTCAAATTCGATATTTTTAAATAATCCATATTTTTCGAATATGGTACAAGTAATAGTACGAGTCATATATGGTTCAAATGATATCTTACCTCCGGTGGGCTGAGTTGGTAGGTTTTGGAACAAAGGAACATTGGACCAAAAGTGAAGGCAATTGGATGGCTGCCAGCCCCATCATCATATGTATAACGGTTGTCCATTTGGGAATCTTGATCATTCAATGCCTTGTAACAGAAAACCAAATCAAGGATTTAAAATTTGATAACTACTAACATAATTTGTTTTAACCATGAAAGGGATAACTTAATCATTGCATGTTTACCTTTTGGATGAGAACGGAAACGTCGATTGTTGGTCCAGGCATGGTGGCAGTGAAAAAACCTATACAGAGACTTGTGAGGGAACATTTCCATGTTTTGGGAGATAGCCAGACCGCCTAAGCTGTGACAAACAAGGACCACTTTTTCTTCATCAGGTAGCGATGCCATGAAATCCGTTAAGGGCTTGATGTAATCAGAGATGTATCTGAGAGTGTCCACTTGCTGTGGATCAACCCCTGACCCTGCCAGGTCTATGGCGGTCACGTTGTGTCAACTTCTATACCAGTTTCATTGATCAGTAGATCCATAGTTTCCTTTCCCACATATTCAAGCACTTGCATTCCCTTTGTTGTAAAGGCTTTTCCAGTCTGCAAAATTGATATGAGAAATAAGAGATCATTGTAACATTACCAAACAGTGTAATGACTGTACTATGACAAACCTCAATTAATAATGGTGGAACTGAACCAGCGGGTAAACCGCCATGCTGAATAGAATCAGCAATGTTTACAGCAGAATGCTCAAGCCTAGAAAATAAAAGAGAAAAGTTTTACTAGTGGAAAACTGTTTCATGAGTATATCTATTTATCGAGTTCTATGACAACAATTGTGGATACTACAACATCAGGACAAAATAGAGGGAAATTATAAAAAGAAGAAGAAAATCAAGCAACAGCATATGGTGCTCAGTTGTTTATCTTGGCATGAAAGGTCACATTTATAGAAGTAAGCATCTAACCAGAGTCCACACTTGAAATGCCAGGAAAATTCTACCAAGGTTCATGCGGAATAGAAGTGGTTATGTCTTAAACATAGTCATGTCACATCTTCTGCAGATGAGAGGGAAGATCCAATATACAGGAAGAAATTCCATGATGATAGAACTGTGGACCCATTGGTTTAGAAATTTAAATACTAGCACTGAGTGACTTCCAAATTTTTTTAAGAAGATGCCTTGCAATTACCCAGGATCAATCCTTTTTTTCTCTATTTTTTCTTTGTAAGCTCCAGGGAATCAACTAATTATTAAAAAACGGACTCTGTATTGAAAAAAATGAAACATACTTCTGAACTAAGTTGCTACCCCCTTTCAATGCACTCCCTAGTGCCTGC